TTCGTATATATACTTGAAAGTCAGTATATCCTAATATAGAATGCAAATTAAAGAAGATTTTACCTTAAAGGTGCTTAGACACAGATTTGAACTTAATATTTTCTCAAATTTTCTGTATAATATTACGACTTATATATTGCAATAGCATTTCACACGAAAATATAATTAAAAACTTATTTTATCTGGAAATTATTGGAACTACGAATTCCGGGACGCTTTTGATTAACACATCTTTGCACTTACACAAATTTTAACTTTATCCTTTATATTTAAGAAAAGAAGCGATTTTGTTATGTATTACTGAAAAATATTACATCTATAATCCAGAAAATTCAGAGTAGAAATGTTCGAAAGCAAAACCAGCTCACCAGTATTGTCAGTCCGTGCTCTGTGATGTGTACAGAGTTTAACAAATTGAACACACCCGTGAAACGTAAACTGTTTTTGTAAACAGGGCACGAGCTCTGTTATTGTTAATGTTTACAATTCACCGGGTGTGTTCAATTGTCAAACTCTACACACACCACTGAGCACGGACTTACAATACTGTGAGTGGGTTTTGCTTTCGAACATTTCTACTCTGAATTTTCTGGGTTATAATTTTAATATTTTTCATTAATAAACAACAAAATTGCCACTTTTCTTAAGTATTAAGAATAAAATTTGTGAAAGCGCAAGGATGTGTCAATCCAACGCGTCCAGAAATTCGAAGTTTTAATAACTTCGAGATGAAATAAGATTTTTGTCATATTTTAGTATGAAATGATATAGCAACATACAAGTCATGAAATTATACAGAAAATTTGAGAAAATATTAACTTCAAATCTGTGTCCAAGCACCTTTAAGGACTAGGGGCAGCAAATTTAGTCACTCGAATGCTTCTGAGAATCAGCTGTTAGAGAAACTTGACTCGGAAATGACCGTAATTTACAATTATTACGCCCATGTATGACAATATGTTAATGTCTAAACAATGAATCAGTGAATGATTTTCTGAAAAGTTCAAAATGAATATCGATGATATTTGCCTTCTTTTATCGGAAAAAATAAAAAGAATCCGCATTTCTAAAAAGGAATACATCATTTTTAGTAACAAACTGAATGGCGTACAAGGTAATGTCATAGAAGAAAGAGTTATGTCCAAGACACGATGTAGTTACGATATCGACATATTACTTTTTTATAGTTTGCTTTAATACTTCTCTATTCTTTTGTGTTTATAACAGTACTTTCTGTTTTAAGAAGTTTTCCTTACTGTCAATATCCACGATATCGTACCGATATCGAACCATGATTGTTCAAAGCATTATGGTTTCCATATCCTTGATATTGTGTTTTTTAAAGTTATTGTGAGTTACTTGAAAACTATCTTTTATAAAACTTTCCCTGTAGTGTCGATATCGTCGATATCGACGATATCGCTTTGATATCGAATCATGTTTGCTCAACCCTTGGTAAGTACCGTCCTTTTACTTTGTATGTGTGTTTTTGTTTAAATACTTTACCTTTACGATGATTGTACTTGCAATCGATATCATCGATATCGACGATATCGTATCGATATTGAATCATGATTGTCAAAAACATATTACTTTACCAACCTTCACCCTAATACAAAACCTTACTTTTAACATCCAAAGACAATAACTTCTGTGTTTCTTAATGCAACACTTGTGCATATTTACTTTCTGATTAATAAGTTTACCCTACTGTCGATATCGACGATATCGTATCGATATCGAATCATGATTGTTAAAACATATTTAACAACTTTCTCCCTTACCCAACATTTTACTCTAAACCTAATCCAAGACGATAACAACCCCTAACCCTTTGTTTATCATCATAATTTATTTTCATATTTATGCCAATAGTGAATCAATTTCGACATCACTTGTGGCCTTGTAAAATCATGCTATACCTCATTGTGAAAATGAATTGTACAAATAGGATCGATATCGATACGATATCATCATGATATTGTCGATATCGACGACATCGACATGACACAGAGTCTCATATATGGTACCAAGTATTTCCAATTAATAGTGCTGATCAGGATCGATATCGATACGACATCGACATAATATTGTCGATATCGTCGATATCGACATCGAATTCTTCTTGGACATGTATGAGAAGAAATGGGGAAAAAAATCTTCATTTTTTCATGTTTATGCATATTCCGTATTATTTCATCGATTCTTAATAATTAAGTAGTCCATCAAATGCCCAGTTACATATATATACAAATATATAAAATTATAACGGATTTTCTCTCCCTCTTTCACTCTCTGTCTTTTTCTCTCTTCCTGTATCAAAATTGAAGGGGGGGGGGGGTACTGTAAACATTCTAATATAAATATTTTCTTTCCATTCACTTACAAGAAAATTTATTTCTTTTCTCAGTCCTTTAATTTTGGAGTTTAATCGGGTGGTATATTGTAAGTAGTTAATATTTTATAATAAGATTTAAGATGCATGTTTTCTACAAGGTCCCTAAAAATTCATGTAATTTTTCATTTAAGTTAATGTATATGTGTGTTGTGCTACATACATTGTACACAATACGTATGTTTTTGCGCATGTGCAATGCAGCGTTGTCAAGGACTTAGTCCTGAGACTAAGCGTATCGTTTACGACTAGACTTACGCCACTTCGTGAAACGCAAATTACGCCCGACTAAATTTTGGCGTAAGCCCCGGAAGAACACCTAAGTTAAGGCTTAAATTTACGACTCTTGATGAAACGGGCCCCTGGGGCCCGTTTCATCAAAGGTCGTACGCCTAGTCGTAGCGCTACGCCGGCGTAAAGTCGGGATTAGCACCAAGATTTGCGTTTCATTAAATAGCGTATCTTTACACAGGACTAAAGTTAGGCCAAAATGTTACGTCTACTCGTTGGTAGGCGTAAGTTCGGGCGTTAACATAAAATAAAGCGAGTTTACTGATTTGAAAACGATTTAGCCATTCCTTAAGAAGAATTACGGCTCTAAGAAGTCTTTTTAATACAAACGATGCATTATTTAATTTCAAAAACTATGAAGATTTGGGGGAACGGAAACGGGGGGGGGGGGTTTACACTCACTCGGGGAGGTAGTTGATATATACATGCAGTATTTACATAACTTTAATAAATTTCTTCATAAACGATTGCTTTATTAGGGGTTCATTTTAACACAATCTCCTAAGTTTTGACAATCCTGAATTTATACACATTTGATTGTTGTATTTTGAGTATGAGGTATTGTAAATCGACTATACGATATACATTTTGTGTCATTCACTGAAAAGGAACCTATTAAAGAATGTCTAATTTGAAAAAAAAAATATTTTTCAAAACACATTTTTATTGAAAAAAGTATTTCTTCCACAAAAGCACAGTTATCTTCTTTAGCTATGGTTAATATATATTTTTATAAATTAAATATAATTTTTTAACTCATCGTAAAACCAAGGAGGCTTTTTTAGAAAAAAAAATTATCGTGCTCGAAAACTCCATTTCTTATTTACTCCACGTCTACATGCGTGGATCTAGAGGGGGTCAGGGAGGGGGGCCCAGTCCCCTTCGCCGCAATTTGCGGAGTTATTTATGTACAAATCTAGAGTAAAGTAAGTAAAAAATTAAAAATTACCTTGAACTCCTGTTAGAGTTAAGATAGTAGTTGGTATGAAGTTTAAGAATTTAAGGGAAGGATCCCCCTCCCCCGAAATAAGATTATCAGGTTTGGGAAAGAATAATCATGTGTTAACAAGTTTCTCAGATGGAATGTTTTTAAATTGATGACCCCCCTAACCCCTTGAAAAAAAATCACAACCCGAGCCTGCGTTCAGAAAAAGTTGTTAACGTTCAAAAGATGAAAAAGATTCCATTTATTCGTGAATATACTGGAAAGTCAATATATCCTAATATTGAATATAAATCAAAGAGGATTTTATCTTAGGGACTAGGGGCAATAAGTCACTCGAAAGCTTCTGAGAATCATCTGTCCGAGAAACTTGACTCGGAAATGACAGTAATTTTACAATTATTACGCCCATGTATGACAATATATTAATGTTTAAAAAATGAATGATAAATTTCTGCCTTTTTTATCGGGAAAAATAAAAAGAATCCACATTTTTAAAAATAAATACTACAATTTTTTGGGAACAAGCGGAATGGCGTACCAGGTCATGCCATAGAAGAAATGGGAAAAAAAAAATCATTTTTGCGTGATGATGCATATTTTGTATTATTTTATCGATTCTTAATAATTTAATAGTCCATCATATGCCCAGTTACATATGTATACAAGTACATAAAATTGAAACGGATTATTTCTCCCTCTTTCTTTCTCTGTCTCTTTCTCTCTTCCTGAATCAAAATCGAGAGGGGGTGGGATAATGTAAATATTCCAAAATAAATATTTTCTTTCCATTCATTTACAAGATCATTTATTCCTTTCCCAAGACCTTTAATTTTGGAGTTTAATGAGATGGTATGTTGTAATTAGTTAATATCTTATAATAATTAGATTGAAGATGCATGTTTTCTACAAAGTCCCTAAAAATGCCTGTAATTTTTCTTTAAGTTAATGTATATTTATGTGTGTTGTTCTACATGTACATACATTATACACAATACGTATATTTATGTTTTTTGCGCATGTGCAATACAGTGTTGTCAAGGACTTAGTTCTGAGACTAAGCGTATCGTTTACGACTAGACTTACGCCACTTCGTGAAACGCTAATTACGCCCGACTAAATTATAGCGTAAGCCACGGAAGTACACCTAAGTTAAGGCTTAAATTTACGACTTTTGATGAAACGGGCCCCTGATCTAACTTTAGTCCGGTGTAAAGATACGCTATTTAATGAAACGCAAATCTTTGTGCTAGTCCCGACTTTACGCCGGCGTAGCGCTACGACTGGGCGTACCACCTTTGATGAAACGGGCCTCAGATTGTTGTAACATTCGCTAAATCTATTGTGATCAAATGTTCACTAGATACATACCTGAACAAAACAGAATTTTGCATTGTCGATTAGACATTTCCGGTGGTTATACACCGACAACTCAAATCTCTTGACTTTCAAGTCGATATCACCATTTTTGTCAAATTTTAATCGACTGTTTAAAGGAAGAATTGCCCCAAACTCTGCAGACACGTTCACGTCAACAGATTTTAAAGACGTTGAAAAAGTATTCATCGCATTATCCTGAAGGGAACTGCAGTTATCATTAGAACATAATGAGTGTCGAGAATCTTTCAAAGCTTTCGCAAACATGCAAACAGTTTCTAGAGCAAACTTTACGTAGATATTGTTTGATGCAGCATTGTTTACATCTTCTGCCGTTGGAACCTCTGGAACCTCACAGTTACCACAAGTTTTAATGTCTTTGAGTACATCCTCTAACCAAGGATTCGTGATCTTTTCTTCAGCCAATAGTGTCTTGTTTTGAAAGATGTTTCTCCAGTGTGTCAGAAATTCCTCTACCGGTTGATATGTAGGACTCACAACAAGGTTTCCTCTAGAAGCTGGCAATGTTCTATCATTAAACACAGCCTTCGAGGTTCCGGCACCTTCTGAAAAAATTACTGATGGCGTATCTCCACCGAGTTTCAGGTCTGCTAGGGCCGTTAAAAATTTCTCCGCGGAAATTTGATCACCAAAAAACATTATGCCACTGACTGCACCATCTGCGGGTGAAGTGATGTTTTTTATGATTTGATTAAGTAGAGAAATCTCAACCCCATACGTTGTATTAAAACCATTTATTGTGCGGATACATATCCCATGTTTTTCCAAAGCCATTTGCAATGTTTCTGCTCCATGAAGGCCGTATGCGCTATTTTCGTGAACAATAGATACATAGTTCCATTGTAATTCCAACATCAGTGACGTGATTACCTGAAAATAATTATACTCTTAAACCTTCAAGAACATCAATTATAAGTTTTCAAAGTTGGTAATGATTTACTTGTATATATACATCTCTCTCTTTCTCTGCCCCCCTCTCTCTCTCTTCATTCATTCACTTAAAGCAATTGCTAAAAATATTATTTGTGATAATATAAAAAAAAAATACACCAACTGTGAATTACAAAATTTGTACGATAGTTTGCTTTTACTATTTGAATCTCATGGAATATTTGATAAATGCATCATTTTTCATAAAATCCCAATTTTGAAGAAAACATTCATTTTAAGTTATAAGTGTTTAAAACCCACCTCTATTTGTATATGATCTGAATAAATCGTTCTGAAGAAATTCGGAAATCTCGTTTTATCACTCAAAGACACGGACGTGGAGGAATATGACATCATCGGCGGCGAGATCGTGTCCGGAAGTCTTGCTAGAATGGTAGCCACCGATTCTGATTCAGAACTCCTTCTTGCACCAATGATGCCTGTGGAGATTTTCAATATCAAATACATGTATTTGGTTATACGGTATTCATTGATAAGCTTTTGGAAGGTTGCACAAATTTAAGTCTCTCGATTTATAATTTTTGTTACTTATATGTAATATGGACAACAAATGTACATTTATTCGGATATAAGCTAGAAAACCTGACCAATATCTGACTGACTTTGTTAAAACTGTTTTTGTTTCTAAACATTTATTTGACTTAACCTTAAAAACAAAATATCCCAAGATTTAAAGTTAATCATTTGGAAATGCTTAAGATTTTAATTAATCCACCTTTGCTAAAAATTCATTGATTTTCATCGTGGTTTTCAAACTCTTTGGTTCAGAAAAACGACCTTCATGTTGTATAAAGGGATACGTCTTGAGTTCTTAACTAAGTGTAGTTATTTTGCAAAATTGCGAATTGGATCAAAATCCAGGAATATGTTAAACCCTCTACTTCTTGAAAGTTGGAAAATAAAATGTCTTTCTGTCTGTTTTTCTGGACAGTAACACTTAAAAGGGGATGATTAAAATTCAAAGTCCATACTTCAAAAATATTTACATGTACTAGTATGCTTTGAAGCAATGTAAAAAAAAAACAATGCTCAGTAACACTATATAATGAAGAAATCAGCAAAAAGAATAATACTTTCCTCGCAAGTCTTTATTTCTTTAGAAACAAACACTAATTTGGACTTAACAAAACGATTGCTTAAAAGGTGCAAGTGTGATGAAAACAAAATGTGTTTTTAATTTCGTATGATAAATTTTCAAATACTTGACTGGACTATCACTCCATAGCAGAGAGAGAGAAAATAGAAATATATTTTACACAATTGACGTTAAATTAAGAGTTGGAATTGTTTTCAATAGAAACCTAAAATGGTTTATGACTTAAATATGTGTCTTGAACCTAATTTAAGATTATTCCTAACAAGGTACACATATATTTTTAATAGGAAACCGTAAATAATAACATGTTCTGTTGCTGATTGGAATCAAAATATGTGCACACTTTAGGCCCGACTACATTGCAATATTTAAATACGAGCACGTAAATCTCATTCTCATATAGTACTGTTGTATTCTGTTTAAAGTGTTTGTGAAAAACTGATGCCCCCGTATGGCAACTTATACCAAAGGTTAAGCTTTCTTAAAGGCAAATCAAATGAATATGTTGGTACCCAGAGTAAGGTTTTGTCTCCAGAAAGATACCTGTGAAATATGGAAGCCGTAGCAACAACCATTGAAAAGATATGGAAAAGGTTAAAGTTTTTCAAAAGTAAGTCAAACATCAAGGTCAAATGGTCAAAATTAATGGTTCCCAAGGAAAGGCCTTCTCACAAGAAATACACATGTGAAATATAAAAACCTTAGCACCAATCGTTCAAAAGTTATGATCAAGGTTAAAGTTTTTCTAAAGTAGGTCAAACTCCAAGGTCAAGATCAACAGTGACAATTGTTGGTAACCAAAGGAAGGTCTTGGCAAACGGAATAGACGCGTTAAATATGAAAGCCCTAGCACCAACCGTTCAAAAGTTATGGCCAAAGTTAAAGTTTTCCAGAAGTAGGTCAAACTCCAAGGTTAAGGTCAAGTTGTTGGTATCCAAAGAAAGGTCTTGTCACAAGGATTGCATATGTGAAGTATGAAAGCCCTATCACCAATTGATCAAAAGTTATGCCTAGGGTTAAAATTCGGTAAAATTTTGCAAATCTGGTCAAACTCCAAGGTCAAGGTCAAAAATTATGGTACTCAAAAGAAGGGTCTTGTCACAGGGAATACACATATGAAATATGAAAGCTATAGCTTAAAGTTAAAGTTTTTGAAGACAAACAGACAGCTAGACAGATGGACGGACAGGGCAAAAACTACCGTATAACGGGTATTTTCTGCGGTTGGAAATTTTTGCGATTTAACCCCTAAAAGATAGCAAATTAATTTCTGCGTTTTCAATTTCTGCGGTTGCATTATACCGCAAAAAAAATATATACTGGGTATGCTCACCAAACTCTAAGAATATCAGATAGCTGCCATGTTTACGTTTTATAAATTCATTGAGACATATTGATCAAAGGTGCATGAGAACTGGTATTAAGCTATATAGCTTAATTCAACTACTATCTTTTAGTTAGTCTTTGTACAATTATGTCGAGTCCCAATTGAAATGAATTATTACAGTATCAGTCCACCCAAACAACAATAAAAATCTTTATTCTACATTGTAACAAACGTTTTATGCGATCTATTAAAATATTTAAATATATAGATAATTAATGCATCCAAGCCATATTCTAAAAATACACTTAAAGTTAATTGCCATCAAAATTAACCTGGTGTTTATATTTTAAGCTCAAACAAACAGTTGCATAATCAAGTAACCTAAAGTTGACCGTATACAATCACAGGTGCCATGTGCAATGAGGCGTAACTAATCCTGTCAGTCGTCTGCATTGAGTGAAATTCACGAGACAATCAAGCCACATTGTGTATACAAGCATTAATTATAGTCTCAAGATAAAACACAAGATTGAAAAAAAGTGTTAAAGAAAGAAAGAAAAGCTAATATGTGTTGTTTGCAGCTATCGGAGTTTGGACGAATAATTGCGAAGTCTCTTTTAGTCATTTACATGTAGGCCTACATGCATATCCGTATAAAATAAAGAAATAGGTACAAGAAAATATCTTTTTTTTTTTTTTATAAAATTATTAAATTGATATTATTTACAGGAACGTTTTGATTCAATATGTTTTGGACAAATCCTGAGTGACATCTAAAATCTTCGACTTTCGATGACACCCGAATATTCTCGCTAACGAGGACGTGTCCACTCATGAGTCTGCGGACGCATCGTTTTTAAGAACCTTGCGTCCCAAATAATTTTGCTGCGTCCAGTACGCAGCTTCTTGCGTTAATGAGAATCCTGTGACATACGCACAACTTATCATACTTGCATGTATAAATAAATATCTGAAGAAATATTGAAAAATATTTTGTGATTGTAATTTTTGCGGATTTGTCCTATCCGCAAAATTCCGCAAAAATTGGACAACCGCAGAAAATACCCGTTATACGGTATATACCCCCGAATCTTCCCAAATACGGGGGCATAAAAAATCTTCATTTAATGAAAGACCATGGAAATCTCAATCATCTGCTTCTCTATTTTATATTTTTCCTACCTAAGATGTTTTGGGACTTTTTCTTTATTGCTGTCGAGATCTCTATCGCTCTGTACCCGGCAAGATGTTCTAACTGACATGTAGGATAGGCAATCAAACCTAGGAATTGGGATAAATGAATGTAAATATATTTTAATTAATTGACATATAGGCAATAGAGCATCTCCATTAAATAGAACATACTAGTATAAGTCAGTCCATCTGTGAGATGCTTGATGAAATGATTTTTAATATGTAACATAAAACGTTAGCTTTTTTTTCTTATCACAGAATTATCTGCTATGGATGCTTCTTGTTTGTTAAATTTTATTTCTTTAAAACAGAGGAAAATCTTTGTACTTATTTACATTAAAGGGGCTTGAACACAAATTTGAAATTAATATTTTCTCAAATTTTCTGTATAATATCATGACGTACATGTCACACAGAAATATAAAAAAGCGAGTTCAGAAACTTCTTTTATCTGGAAGTTATTAAAACTACGAATTCGGAACGCGTTTGATTGACACATACCCTTGCACTTTTTGAAAGTGATTTTATTCTTAATACTTAAGAAAAGTAGAAATTTTGCTGTGTATTTATGAAAAAATATTAAAACTATAATCCAGAAAATTTAGAGTAGAAATGTGAAACAGCAAAACCAACTCATCAGTTCGTCCTCAGTGATGTGTGCAGAGTTTAACAAATTGAACACACCCGGCGAAACGTAAACATTAACAATAACAGAGCTCGTGCCCTGTTTACAAAAACAGATGTTTGACGTGATGTAAAGAAGAATGTCGTTGTCACTGAATTCTAAGAATATTCATGTAAGTTTAGTTCATTTAAGTGGTTTTATTTTTTGAATAAATATAGAAATTTGAAATGTAAGCAGTACAACTTTGTCAAGGCCCCTTTAATGTTTAGGACGTCATTAATATTAACTTTACCTATTTTGACTCCGGGAATGTAATTGTTGTCGTTCAGTCGTCGTATTGCCCATTTCACTGCCTCTAGTTCCATTACAGACGATGTTGAGACTTTGCCATTACATTCGCTGGAACTTGTGGAGGAGTTTAAAGTGAATAAACCAGCAAAACTTACATCACCCGGAACTGACGTCACAGGAGAAATTGACGCCTCCACAGACAGTACGCTCAATATAAAGAGTTGCAGTATTCTGAAAGTGATGAACATGGCAAATAATACATTATACATGGATATAGAATCCAGTAGTATCCCATCGCGCTATTACATCATCGAGGTTTGAGTCGATGGCGCAATGACGATGGTGCAATGTTGCAACCACTATTGAAATAACGCCCACTATTGAAATAATTATTTCAATAGTGGTTGAGAGTGCATTTCAAAACCAATCAAGGTTGTAACCACTATTGAAATAACGACCACTATTGAAATAATTATTTCAATAGTGGTTGAGAGTGCATTTCAAAACCAAACACAGGTTGAAACCACTATTGAAATAACGTTCACTATTGAAATAATTATTTCAATAATGGTTCAAAGTGCATTTCAAAACCAAACACAGGTTGCAATCACTAATGCAATAACATACACTATTGAAACAATAATTTCAGTAGAGGCTTTGAATGCAAAAATCATGCAAAAAATTGAAAAATCATTTCATTAGTGACCGTTTTTTCAATAGTAGTTGCATTGATACTACCGCTATCGAAATAATATCTACTATTGAAATGATTTTTCAATAGTGGTTGCAACCATGCACCTACTATTGAAATAACGATCACTACTGAAATAATTATTTAAATAGTGGATATTATTTCAATAGTGGTTTTATGTGTGTAACCACTATTGAAATAACAACCTCTAATGTTATAACACTTATACTTAGTTTTCCCAAATAGCTGATTTTATGTATTGAAGAGTAGAAACGTTGGATTTACTACCCATATTAGAAATGTATGCAAGCCCATGAATATACGCGAGAATTTACTTCTATTCTATATCCTTTTGATTGAAAATAACCATTTTTTATCAGAAAGTTTGTATGAGATATCACATAGATGTCTTCTTTCTTCTTTTTAATGTAGATATTCTAATTTTCAAAACTATCTGTATCGATCACCTTTAACTCTCCCTGATTAATAACAAAGATGAACCTCGTGTAACAAAATTGCTTAAAATTAATAGATCAGTTAAACTGCAGATGTCCATGTATTAATAGTATTTCTAAACAGAAATTAAAACATAAAATTACATATCATTTTTTAAACTCAATAAATCAATTTATTATGTTGGAAAACATATTGAAGAATTTATCCTTATATTTTCTTCCAATAGAGGGGTTATTTCAATGAGTCTTGCAATGTGATTTTTATATTGAAATCATTGTAAGCAACTATTGAAATAATTATTTTAATCACTATTGAAATCATTATTTCAATCACTATTGAAATCTTTATTTCAATAGTGGTTGCAACTTGGTTTAGGTTTTGAAATGCATTCGAAACCTATATTGAAATCATTGTTTCAATAGTGAATGTTATTTCAATAGTGGTTACAACCTTGTTTGGTTTTGAAATGCACTCTCAACCACTATTGAAATAATTATTTCAATAGTGAACGTTATTTCAATAGTGGTTACAACCTTGTTTGGTTTTGAAATGCACTCTCAACCACTATTGAAATAATTATTTCAATAGTGGTCGTTATTTCAATAGTGGTTACAACCTTGTTTGGTTTTGAAATGCACTCTCAACCACTATTGAAATAATTATTTCAATAGTGGGTGTTATTTCAATAGTAGTTGCAACATAGCTTTTTCCTCTACATGCAATAAGAACCCTTTCTTTGCTCTGTGAACCCAATATTAGTCAATATATGTAGTGGAAGTACATGCGTGCACTAATTTTACAACTTTCAATCTTATGATAGAAGTTTATTAAAATATTTAATTTAATTAAAGAATTTGCACCCGAGTAAGAGATGTACCATATTAAATCTACACTAAAAATAGTTACTTATAAATATAGATGTTTTAGCATCGCTGGTTCGGAAAAGTTTCTTCATAGCAATTTCCATATGAATTCCTATGATAAGCTGTTTATGTAACATATCCTATCCGAGGGTTTTGAAAAATCTGAATGTGCAAAATATAAGAATGCTGTAGATATAATCTTACTATACATAGTACGAGGGTTTAATGTATAGGCTAAAAGTTACAAAAAAAATTATATTTGAATTAAATGGGGGATCATTGAATTGAAATTTTACTACAATTTAGCTGTCGATTGCAAAGGAATTTTTCTATTTGTTCCTTTGTAAAACTTTCAACCTCTACTTGTTCTGTCTTAGTTGCCTGGTTACGGGATCATGGCACTGATTATTTAAATTTCACACTAATTAGATACCCTGCTTTTACAGGGCACCAGAATTTAGGCTCGGATAAGCGGATCTGTGTTTATGGATATTGCAAATCACAGGCGTTTTAAACCGCCACTTCTTACGGAAGAGAATACAGTTCAAGTAATCCGTATGCTCCTAAAACTTAAATTTGCCAGTAAATATTAGTAATATTCTTAAGCACAAAAGTTGAAGTCCACACATTGTACTTCTTACAAATATTCAACAACTATTGCTTCCAAGCCTTTTAATTAAAAAAAAAACTCTACAGTATCTAGATATTGAACATCTGAAATATAATCCTCCTACATGTTCATATTCTTCTTCAGTCTACAACTATTGCTCTGCTGGACACGTCATAAGTGATGACATAGATATAGTTAATAATGAGAAATCACTTTTGTCAAAAGGGTCAAATTTAGGGAACCCCGATCTTTCAACTGGCGTCAAAATTTCATAAATATTATGAATTTTGGGGGTAAATAATCTAGACGATGGACCAAACATGAAAAAGACGACCCTGTGACTTTGTCAGAATGGATTAAAAGCATCAGATGGATGTTGAAATCTCGCATAAAACAATTGAGGGGCAAAATGAAAACCGTCCACCCTTCTGTCTTCAATAATTCAGAAGTAATAAAAAGATTTTTTAATAGATAGAAAGCACGATGAATATGTACTGATCCCAGTTGACAAAGCAGGTAACAACATTGTCTTTTTTTTGTAAGGCTCATTATTTTAATTGTATTTTAGAGGAACTTTAAGGGATTTAATCTGCAAGTGGTAATCCAACTTGTACTCATCATGGCCGTAGGAACCGGATGGCACGGGGGGGGGGGGCTGCCCCCCAATAATTTTGCCGATATATATTTTACTATAGTAAACATAGATACTATATGCTTGTGCCCCCTCAATAAAAACGTTTGATGCCTTTTTTTTTTTTAATTTTGCTTGTCGACTGAAAAATGTATGGCTGTGCCCCCCCCCCCCCCCCCAACTGAAATTGCTTCCTACGGGCCTGCTCATAGTTACCTTTCTAAGGAGGAAATTCTTCAAAATCATATGTCAAATTTAATTTTTTTTTTATATTCCCAACGATCAAATTAAATTTGAAACACCATACCTACAATGGATTCCTAAACTAAATAAAAATCCATAAAAACAAAGAGACATAGGTTCCAATAAATGATATACCAAGCCTCTTCTTTACTCCTTACTAAAATATTAACAACAGTGAGGGAGAAACTTCAGGAGTACTGAAAAAATTATATTCGAGAAGTGGTTTATATCAGATGTGGATACTTAAAAACTCTAAGGAACTAAAACTCTCCGAAAATTTGAAATTACAAAATTTTACCAAAATCAATAACATTAAAACGTACGATTTCTCAACACCTTATACAGCTATTCCCTACCATTAATTAAAGTCCAGGATTTTTGACATCATAGACAGCTGCTTTTTTAAATAAAAGGGAACTCGTAAATTTATTTACCTTGTCATTGGTCGTTTACAAAACTATTTTGTTAAAAAAAAAACATTTTGATTGTACACACAAGTACTCCGAAGTTGATATTAAAAATATGCTTGAGTTTCTGATTGACAATATCTATGTAGTTTTTGGAGATCTCGTCTTCCACGGGCCCATAGGAAGCAATTTCAGTTTGGGGGGGGGGGGGGCACAGCTATACATTTTCAGTTGAGGGGCACTACCAACTACCAAAAATTCCTTGACAAGCAAAAAAAAAAAAAAAAAAAAAAAAAAAAAAAAGGTCCTCAGGTGTTTTTATTGAGGGGGCACAAGCATATAGTAGCTATGTTTTCTATAGTAAACTATATATCGGCAAAATTATGGGGGGACGCACGCCCCCCGTCCCACCCGGTTCCTACGGCCATGTTTCCAACAATCTGTCTGAATTCCCTAGAGTACTAATTGCGCCCTGTTATAAGCAGACCTAGTTTTGTATTAAAATGAAGCAGAATTTATTCAAAAACTCCTATAGCATAATGGTAGGGCGTTCGCTTCGTGATCGGGAGGCTTGGGTTTGATTTTCGTTCGCCGCGACGCGTCATACCTTAGACGTAAACATTCATGAATCAGTAGTGATTGTTGCTTCGCCAGCATTAGATATGGAAGCAACGGGTCTTTCGGATGACCAGAGGTCCCGTGTCACGGTAGGCGTTGGCGCGATAAAGAACCCTCACTTCTCAATGGCCCTGATTGCCAAGTGTAAGCCCTTCACCCGCTTACGGTGACGTGTCTGTATGAGTAAAATAAACAAATTCTCGAATATGACGTTAAACAACAATCAATCAATCAATCTACTTGAAAAAAGAAGTCTCTTGCTGTGGCCGTCAATTCAACATTTATATATATCGACGACGTTTTATCAATTAACAATATTCACTTTCATTTCTACGTTGATTCGATATATCCATTTGAACTCGATATAAAAGACAACACAGAGTCTTTAAATGAAAAGCTGATATTAATATGGAAGAATACCTATTATTAGAAAAAAAATATCTTTCCTTTTTTTTGAAAAATAAAAAGAAGGAAAAAATTTAACTGTATTTATTAACATTTTCAATGTGTTTTATTATATATTCAGTATCTATTGTAGAAGTTAGCCTTTGTGAGATAAGCTGTATATTACATTCCACCGACTTTGGCGTGCGAGAGAAAGTTACTTCCTTTGATGTGGTGACAATGTGAGGTAGTATATAAACTTTTCGACATGGAAAGCGTCAGCACGTCACAAACAATGAAATCCTTATATGGTATTCTGCAGAGAGCT